GACAGAAAAATAAATATAAATTAGGTTACCAAGTAAATTAAGTGAACTAGTAAAATTAAAGTTACCCAAACAATTGATTTGATTTACTTCCCATATTTCTTTTGAGAGAAATCTCTTTTCGTATAACGAACATGACTGTCGTATTTCTCTTGTATTTACTCCAATGTTTGCATTTATATGGTAAAAAAAGTGACCCCTATTTTTATTTATTCTTTTGTACAATATAAAGATTCTTTTCTTCCTCTCCGTAACATCAATACTTCTTTTATAACATTCTAAATCAGGTTAATGAAAAAATTTCAAAGATAATCAAAAAAAAATATTGGTTTTGGTAATGGGCACTTTTTTTAAAAAATTTTATTGAATGGAGAAATTAGACTAAAATATTTTTTTTTGTCAAACTGAGTTTTTTTCTATCGAATGAGATAATGTATATTTTTATATATAATTTTTTTATATAGAATCTCTAGTGAATATATGATAATATTAAGTAATACGATAAATGTTAATAAAATACTTTTTTTTTTTTTAAGAAAGAAAATAGTTACTTTTGAAAAATAAAAAAAATTTTTTTTTTAGAAAAAAGGGAATAAAAAAATTATGTACAAAGAAAATAATAAAATAATAAAATATAATATTTAAAATAAAAAAAATGATATTAAAGAGATTTAAAAAATTATGTTTTTTTTCCCCACCCCTTACTGTTTACCTACTAGTCTTTTTTTTTAATTTGTGGATTTATTTTCGAAGATAATTTTCACCCAAAATACTAAAGACTCGTAAACTTTCGATTTTATCACCAACTTGGTTGATTAATTCCTTACTTAATTCCCAGTAAGCTTTTAACTTCCATCTCCACATGGCTTCTTTTGCTTTGATCTCAAATTCGTAACGAGGACGAGGATAATGTAACGCCCATTCAGACCAACTTTCGGATATCAAATGAATCTCTTGTAATTTAGCACACGAGAATAATGGTATGATCACATCTAATAAAACGGATTGAGAAATGTGATCTATATCGATCACCAAGGTTTGAAGGGATTTATGACAAAGGGAAAGAAGGGATAAGAGTCCCAAGTGGGTAAATTTAGATGGATTTGTTTTACCAAGATATAAATATTCTATTTGGACGGACGGAAGTTGTTGCATGGACATGGAATCGGTTGGTGACGGATGAGAAAGAATAATGGAATTATTCGGAGATGAAGAGGAAGAAGAATTATAAGCTATATCATCATCGTAATCGAAATCAGATAAATTGTCACCTAATAATTCATCACAGTAAGCGGAAAGGTCATCATCATTTGTTTTTGTGGGCTGTTGGATAAAATCGGAATCATTTAGGTCAACCCCTTCTAAATAAATTCTTTGAAGTTTTTTACAATTTTTCAACAATTCAATTACAGATAAACCAGTAATGTTGTTCGTTGGATTCACTCCTTTATATCCGGCACTAAATTCGACCAAGGTATCTTTAGCATAAGGAATAACGTATCGAAGAATTCCTTGATCGGTAAAGTTGGTACCACTTAGGGAAATCTTTTGTAAACCCCCATGAATTCTTCTTTGTCTGTCCACAAAGGGAGCAAAATTAGGTAAAACCACACCTAATAACTCATCATTAAAGGCCGAATGATTGGAATCCAATGTAAGTTCCTTTAATCCTTTCCAAACTAATAAACTGCTCGCTACCTGATTCCAAGTAACCTCTTTTCCTACATGACAAGCATGACAAAAACTCAATTTATCTTCAATCGAAATGGATACCAATGGTGATGTGAATAAACTTTGTACGATCTCCAAGGTTTTTAATAAACCTCCAGACCTCATATATGATATTGATATCGGGCATATTGTGATACTTTGTACCAAGAATTTATAATCAAACATCAATTCTTCCGACGGGGTTGATAATGTGCTGAAGATTATTCGTTGCGCGGGTTCCCTCAAGTATAAATGTTTCCATATGTGGGGAATCGATATTTTTGCGAATAATCGATTAACGAATATTAATTTTGAACCTTTTAAAGTCGATGATGTATTTTTTATGGAGAACTTGATGATATTTTCTATGATATCATGAGGTAATTTGCTGAACGGAAACGATCTTTTGGAATTTTTCGTTCGTATCATGTTAATTTTTTTTTTTTTAAATAAAAGATAAATATAACTTCAAAATATTTTTTTCTTAAAAAGAACTTGAATGCTTTTCGTCGAATATAATTTTGTGAGAAAAAAAAAAAAAAGAAATTTTTTTCTCTCGTTATAAAATAGGTTATGAGAGAAATTTTTAAAAAAAGAAAATGATAACTGAAAGTCTGAGATATATACTGTATATATATATATATATATATATACTCTGACTCACTAACTAAAAAAAAGCGCCCACCCATTAAAAAAAAAATCAAAATAAAATATATAATAAAAATAAAATGAATGTTTTTTTTATATTAATAATGATGTTGTCAAATATGTATCATTTTGTGTGTCAATGCATATCTTACCGACATAAAATAAATTTATTTTCACCGATTATAATTTATATTAATTAATATTAATTATATTTACCATATATATTGTGCACTTTTTAATACCCCATTTTACTGTAACCAACAAACCATATTGTGAAATAAATGAGGGAATGGCGGTCAAAATTTTGTGACATTTTGCAAATCACTTTTGAAAACTCAAACACACAATCTTTTTTCTAAAACAAATCAATATATCTTTTTTTGTATAATAATAAGAATTCCCCATTTTTCTTTTGGAAAAAAGAAAAAGGCTAATTAACGTTAAAATTGTTGCGCGTGTTCATTCATAGAATTAACTTTTTTAATCCTTTTTTCATTCTATTTTATCTATTTTAATAATAAAATTCTAAATCTATTTTTAAAGAGCACAATATATTTGGCAAACACGGCACCAAGGCACAGTCAGATAAACAATAAATAACGGATAATATTAAATAAAATTCACCGAACATCATTAAATATCCCTTTAAGGAGATAAACACTACAACGTTATGTTGCGACTGTAATAAGGAATTTTAAGGAAGGAACATCGAAGGAATGACTTTCTATTAATAAATCCTTTGATCTGTACTCTTAATACTGGTGCTCTTTTTATTTTCAAAAGGTGAGGATATAATTAATTCTTCTTTATCGTCATAATTATGGTCCTTTTCTGGATTCTTTTGAATGGTCTCGGTTAAAATCCGCAGCTCCATAAATGTTCACAGACAACAAAAACAATTATTTTAAACAAGGAAAAAGGAGCGTATCCTAACAGCCACAAACTATTTGTCGCTTCATTTAAAAAGTAAACTTCTCTTCTTACACGATTATATAACTATAAATACAAATCAAGTACAACAATAAATTTCCTATTTATATCTTTTCTTTTAAGTTGCACCTGCCGTAATTGCTATCTCAATCTTTCTTCCAATTAAATTCAAACAAGTTTTTCTAAACACAAAAAGATTTATTTGTTTTCGGAAAAATAAAACCGAATAACGTGAATTTTATTTGTAATCCCCTTTTCCTTTTTTTGATCTTCGTGACCCATTATTTATCGTCTTTTAATGGAAAATAGAAAAGGTTACCATTTTTCATTGTGCATTTCGAAGGAAGATTCGTGTTTTGGTTTATGGGGATACAACCAATGTTATATAACGCATGACCTTTTAATCATACAAATATTTGAGGTTCCTCCCTCGAGATCGAGTCATGAGATCACTTCATTATATCATTTTACATCCCAATATCAAATTTTAAAAGAACAATGGAATTATCTTTTTTTTATACATAATATACAACATAAATTAGGTCGAAATCAGTGTAATCGAGATATTACGCCCACATTTTAATTTACTCACCTTATTCAATTTCATAATGGTAAAATATATCTATTTCCTCGTTCCTTTTGATTTTTTGTCATAACAAAGTGTATCAAATTTCTATTGTTCAAAAGAAAAAATTGGAAGTTCAGGGGGAAGTGATTATTTTCTATTGTTATGTATCATTTTGTTTTTTTCTCAACTAATTTATATCTAATCGACACTTGTTCGATCATTTTGACAATTTTCGAATGATATTCCAACTTTCCGAAAAATCATTAATGGTATATATGAGCTGCAAATGTAATTGAACGATATTTCAACTTGTATCACATCGATTAATCAAAGTCTGCATTAAATAATAAATTTATCACTTGGTTGATATTTTGACATCTCACCTCCCAAATTAGGACGTGCCTTAAAGGTAGATATCACATTTTTTTTTTAACTCCTTACCTCATTTTCTTTGCATCTACCTTATCAAGTAACGAGTCTTTTGACATAAATATTGGCCACCACTATGTGGGGTAAATAAACGGGCTTTTGATAGGTTATCATTGTGGAGATGAAAACTTTATTTTTTATTTTATTCTGTGGTTAAAAAATATACATAATATAAAATTCTGTGATTATAATCAGGAATTTCTTGATGATCATAAATGGCATGAATGTGAAAATATGATTACTAAATAAACATTACATATTATAAACCTATTTATTTGAGATGAATATTATCGTTTCTTATAATCAAAACTCCTGAAAAAAAAAAGTTGTACAAAAAATTCATTACATATGCTATATTTTTTTAATGGAGGAAAGTTTCATATATAATATATATAATGTATAATAATAATATTTTTTAATATTAAAGTTACTGTCACATCATATCCGATAAAAGATATTTTTATTCAATAAACTTGGAATAACATTTTTTAAAAATGGAATATCTCAGTTTATATATATATACATATTTACCTTATTAAAACCTTTTATTATTTAATTTTGATAAATAAAATAAATAAAAATAAAAAGTGCAAACGAAGAAAAAAAGGAATAAAGTGAAAGTGATCGGCTATTAATAAATGGTTTGTATTGAATCTATTCCTAATTTGTATCCAATGAATCCAAAAAAAAATTTCTCAAAAATCTAAAAAAGTATATCCTATAACTTGGATATAGATTTTTTATTTTCAAATTCGGCTACCGAACTTCTTTTACTAAACGGATGCTGCCAAACAAAAAATGAAAAAGGATGATTTTGTTAAATTAATATAATAGAAATAATTACAATATAGAAAAAATGTCACTCACCGAAACTTTGGAAACATCCTCTCCTTTTCCTTCCTCTTCACGAAGTTCTAATGGGATATAAGATCTGACACTTTCCCCAACATAAACTTGTCTTGGACGCCAAATCTTTGATTCCTTATCTTCTAAGGATTCTTTCCAATGAGCTAACCATCCTGCAACACGTGGAATTGCTAATCAAAAAATAAAAAAATAAAATAAAAATTACAGATGGTAAATAAGGAAAGGCTTCACAACAAGTTTGAATTATGATTATAAATACTTACCAAATAATACTGGGAACATATCTGTTGGGAAACCCATTGCTTTATAAATCAATCCAGAATAAAAGTCAACGTTAGGGTAAAGTTTTCTTTTTACAAAATATTCATCTTCCAATGCAGCTTTCTCCAATTCAACTGCAACGTCAATAAGAGATTCACGTCCACATACATCAAATACCTTTCAATCATACAGTCAATTAAAAAAGGATATTTTACTTTGGAAAAAATGGACGTGAAAATTTTTTCTAATTTATTTACCTCATAAGCAATATTTCTAATAATCTTTGCACGGGGATCATAATTCTTGTATACTCTATGACCGAATCCAAATAATTTTCTTTTTCTTTGTTTTACTTCTTCCAAAAATCCTGGAACCTTATCAGCTGATCCAATTTCTTCTAACATTCTCAACACTGCTTCATTAGCTCCCCCGTGAAGTGGACCATATAAAGCAGCTGAAGCACCGGAAATCGCACTATATGGATCAACTAAAGAGGAGCCTATGTGACGCATTGCTGCTGTAGAACAATTCAATTCGTGATCTATTTCAAAATAAAAATGATTAGAAAAATGATATTAAAGTTAATTTTACATTAAAGAAACGTCTTACCTGCATGAAGAATAAATAAAATATCAAGAGCTTTGGATAATTTTGGATTTGGTTTGTAATTCTCTTCCGACAATCGGTCAAGCATATACAAGAAATTTTCTGTATATGAAAGATTATTTTGTGGAGGGTTATACGAACTATAGATTATAACGATGGTATTTTATTATAAAAATTTTACCATATAATACATTGATATACAATTAAACCGCACTTACCGGCCAATACGATGACGATATGCCATACTAGATGAATATAGATCATTTTTATTATATATTTGAACTTTAAACTTAACGTAAGAAGATTATAATTTATACTCACGCGGCCAAAGTTGGTGTTTTTCCTAGAAGTCTGAAGATTTGTTTATTTCGTACTTTTTCATCACGAATAAACAGATCAGATCCCTAAATTCGGAGAAAATCAGATTACTATAACTGTTTGACGTTAAAAATTTTTAATAATTTAAAAAAATATATATATATCTTACAGCCAAGGCCGGATTAGCATCTGGGTGAAAAGTACTCATAGCAGCAATACCACTAATGAACAGTCCCATAGGATGTGCATCGTAATTGAAATTACGCATTAATTGAGTGACATTAAAATGTACAAACGTATGATGCATAACTTCATGAGAAAAATTCGAAAATTGTTCCTTTGATGGCAATTCGCCATAAATCAAAAGATATGCGACTTCAAGGTATGTAGACTTTTCGGCGAGTTGTTCAATGGGGTAACCCCTATACAAAGCGTGACTTTAGAAAACGTTATAACGGCAAAAATTAATAAGATAAAGTAATTTACCGATATCTTAAAACGCCAGTATCGCCGTTGATGTAAGTGATTTTGGAGTGCGCGACCGCAGTGTTTTGAAACGCTAAATTCAGAATAGCGATTAATTAAATATCAATAGAAGTTTCGAGTCCAAACAAAAAATTGAAAGGTATGAATACCTGGATCGTATACTCTTTAATATGTTTGAATTCAAAGGTGAGATTAATATATAAATTGCGATTTAAATGGATATACTTATCCAAAGAAATATACCTTAATCCTTTACGACTCTCATCCTCCTCTCGAGATCCAGGAACAGGATCCGCAGTAATATCTTTGAATTTAGTCGCGGGTATAGTATTGTTGTCTATTGGAATTTCATAGAGTTTATTGGTACGATTATCCAATATCGTAAGAGATTGAGTATTTGAACTACCAATATGTTTACACATTAAGTCAGCGTGCGTGATATAAAAAAAGTCAACACTTTCATATCACAAAAAATTAGAACCTTCTTGGTAAAACAACTACAGCTGTGGGTTGTGCTGGAACATCGCCTAAACCCTTTTCTGGAGCTGGTAAAGACCAGGTGGTGCCAGAAGACTTATCTGTCAAGATAAGTCCAGAACTCCTTCAATAATAAAGTTAATTGTTTTTATAAATACTATAAAATTTGATAAATTTAATAATATTAAACAGGTTAAGAATACATTCAACTTACTTTTCGGCTTTTTTACTTGATTCTGGTCCGTCTCCTTTAGCCATAATATTTTGAATAGAAGGATTTGAGAATAAACTCAACGCAAAATGCAAAATGAATTTAAAAGATTTTACCTTTATGATTTTTATGTGAGATAATCTCATGATGAAAAAAATGTCAAATTGATAAAAGATAAGAAACATCAAAACAAGTCACAAGATGATCTATCACTGATCCGTTTATGCGAGATAAAGCTAAAATTTATATTTTATTAATAATAAATTTTATTACGAGACCCTAAATCACATGATCTAATTGTTAATTAATTTATTATAGTAATTATTAAAATTTTTTTTTATTGAAAAATTAATTCACATTTCAAAAATTTAAGAAAATCTTGATTTTATTAGATAGGTTTGATCTATGAATATAAAGGAAGTTAATAATAAATAAAATTATAAAGAAATAATATATATATTATATTACCTTAAAATGCAATCCAATAAGAGAAAACACCAGACATTTGAGATCTTGCACTAAATAATAAAATACGCGTAATCCTTCAGGATCTTCACTTTCTTGTACATCTACAAGCGATCCAATCTTTGCAGTCTATTTTTTTTAAAAAAAAAAAAAATACATTAAAATCGCGAGATATTTATATTCTCTAATAAAGCGAATGAGATTTAAGTTACCTCAAATGAAATATGTTCGTTGCCTAACCGAATTTCAAGTTCTTGTCGTCCAACAACATTCTTTTTTGGCCATCGCGAATCGTCTTCTCTGTAAAGCAACAGTATGAAAATATTTCAATGCATATTCAATAACGAAACGACTATTTCTCGTGAATATTAAACTTACTTCATGACCTCACTTTCTTGGATTATCCGTTTCAATTCTTTCATCATTAACGGACTTACATACACTTATACAAAAGAAAACAATGGGTTAGAGATAAAAATATTTTTTTAAAAAAGTGTAAAAAGAGATGCTTACTCTCTTTTCTTATCAAACTATCATTTCTATAATTTGAGTTATTTGCATAACGACATCGTCCATCGGCACGAAACTCAAATTCAAGAAATTCATGACCATAACGTCCCATGTGACCAGTGCTAAATAGAGAAAAGGTGGTTTAAAAACAAAAGAATATTAATGAAATTTAGATCTTAATAGATTGGAAGGATCAACTTACTAATAACGAACATAAAACTCGTCCTCTCCGCCCATTAATATAATTTATTTACAGTAAAATGAACTGTGGAAATGGTACGTGTAAGAAGATTTTAGAATAAAACTAGTGAACTGTATTTAAGAGAGAGAATTTGTTCTCGATATAATGGTGATTTATTATGCCGATCATTTCAGCCAAAATTAATATAAATGTTGGTCTACAAATCAAATAAAATATTAATATTTCATATTATAAATATTTTAAATTAATATAATATTTTATTAGCTATTATTAATAATAAATTTGTTGGTTAAATAATCTAAGTAATAATATAATTAATATATTTAATTTAATTTTTTATAAAAGTAAATCAAAAGAAAATTTATAACATTTAAGTTAGTAAATTTATTTGCAAATTCTTATAATCTAAAAATTAATTATAATAATTATTACAAATATTAAATTTATAATTTTAATATGCTGTTAATGTGTAATTTAGTGATTACTACAATTAGACAGGATATTTAATTGGTGATTGTTTTTAGTTTACATAATAATTTACTGTTAATTTCTGATTTTTAAAGCTTATAATTGGTATTACTCAATAATTTATATAATTATAAAGACAGTATTTATTAAGATTTATAATTTATTATAAAGATTCATAAAGGCTTATTTATATGTTATCACTAAAATATGAAGCTTATATATCACTAAGATTTGTATATCATAAAAACTCATGAAAATGTAAAGTAAAGAAAAAGTTATTAATAATAATATAATAAATAAAAGAAATAAAAGAAAAAGAAGTAAAATAAAAAAGGTAATTTTACGAAGAAAGAAGCATCAGCTATTTATGATTTTTTTGGAAAATTATTAATTACATACCTATCAAATTCTGCCTTTTGCTATTTTCTAAGCAACTGCATTATATATTTTGAAATACATATAATATATATTAAATAAATAAACTATATAAATATATACTGACCTATAAAAGTATTTGGATTTTATTAAAATTTACTTAGTAATATATATAGTAAAATTAAAGATCTTTAACCTGCATAAATATTTACAAATTTTTATTAAAATTCAACCAAAATTTTTTTATTTAAAAATCAATCAATTATAATTTTTAAAAATATAAATAAAAGTATTTAATTTTAAAAATGCAGAAAAAATATATTTTTAAAATAATAGATAGAATAAATAGAATAATTTTATATGTAAAATAAAAAAAACAATAAAAAACTATTACTTATTTATATTTTATTATAAGAAAATATTTGATGCTTTAAAAATTATTATTTTTTATTTTAATATATAAAAATTATAATTGATTGGCTTTCAATTAAAAAAATTTTGGTTAAATTTGATGAAAATTCATAAATATTTATATAGTTAAAAATCTTCAATTTTACTATATATTATTAAGTAAATTTTATAAAATCTGAATACTTTTTATAGCCTAATATATTATATATATTAAATAAATTAAATATATTGAATATGTTAAATATGGAAGGCAGTCAGTAAAAAGGAGGAAATCCAAAATTTTTGTTAATTTTAATTATTAAGCTAATTTTGTATACATGACTGAAATCAGCCAAGTAGTTCAATAATATAAATTTTGACCAAAATTTGGATTTTTTCCTTTTTTACTGATCGCTTTCCATATGTTAACTATCTTAACTATATTAATTATATTAATAATATCACATTTTCAATGTCATATATGTAGATTAATTTTTAGATTCTTGAATAAATCAATTCAATAGAATAATTCTGTAGATTAATTATATATAGATTACTTTGTAAATCTGTTTACAATAATATTTATATTATTATTTATATTATATATCTCTTTTACAATCTTTATTATAAATTTTTTGTAAATTTACTATAAATAATTATTATATAACTTTAACTTAAATTTAATACTATTATTTTTTTATATTATTATCTTATAATTAAAGATGATGCAGCAATTAATTTCAAATTTACAAATTGTTACAATATAAACTAAAATTAGTTGCAACATATATAGGTTAAAATTAATTACAATGTATATTGTAACATTTAAAGTTGTAACGTATTAATTACAATTCTCATCTTTATTTATGATACTAATAACTGATATTAATACAAAATTAACAAAGAATTTAGTTTTAAGATTTATGAAATAATGTATTATAGAAAGTTTTGAAATTAGCACAATCAAATGTAATTTAAAAATATAATGTAATTATATATAAAGCAATTAGAATTTTATTAAGTAAAAGAATGTATTATAATTGTATTTGTTTTTATATAAAAGTATTTAGTAATTTTCTTATTATCAATAAGATTAAGTAAATTCTTATTATTAATGAAATTTTATAATTATCCTATTTATAAAAAATTTGATAATATAAATAAATAAAATAAGAAATATAAAATTATATAATTGATTACTAATATAATTTGATTATTAATGAAAAAGAAAGTTTCAGCATTTTCTAGATCTTTGTATAACTTTTATATTTAGCATATCTGTTTCTTGTATTTCTGACATATTTAGTATATTTAAACATATCATATATATTTGATACATTTCATATATTTGTCAAGATTAGTAGATTTGGCAGATATTATATCATAATAAGATTATGTGATTCATTTTATCAGATGATTTTTATTTCATATATTATTAGGTTAACAATATATAGAAGCTTGTTAATAAAAAAGAGGAAATCTAAAAAAAATTAAAATTTTACTTCATATGCTAAATATGATTTTTTTAGTAAAATAAGTTTAGATTTAACTTTAACTCATAAAAACATTTTTTTTAGATTTCTTCCTTTCTATTGACAAGCTTCCATATATATAGGATTGGGAAGTACAGTATTAATACAATGATTAGTATAATTAGTATAGTTAGTACATTATAATAATTAATATAAAAATTAGTATAAATACAGTACAAGTATAATGTTAAATTTATTAATACATACAAAATTTCCAACCCTGTATATATATATAACTTTAAAAACTTATATATTGTATAAAGTAATATTTATTTAATATAAAATAATTAATTTATATCTTTTTACCATAAACTTAAATTTTCCGAACACTATTTAATATTATTTCTAAGTAAACTAAAATCAATTATAATAATATTATAAATTGTGATATATTATTTAATTTATAATTATATATATTATTTTTAATATCTATAATCTAACAGTATAAATTTATATCATAACTTTTAATATAAGTATAAACTTATAACTTTATATTAGAAATTTATTAAAATTAAATCCAAAGATTGAACTTGTGTATATTATTTATTTTTATTATAAAACTTGACATAGTCCAACTTCACATTAAGATTCTTTTTGAGTTTTATTTACTTGACAAAATATATCAGAATAAAAGTTCCATCTATTTTTATTTTTTTATTATTCAAGTGATTTGTAGATTAAATTGTCCAGAAGAGACCGTCTCATATAAGGGTGTACTATTATACAATTTATTGGATTTTTTTTATACAGTTTACAATACATTTTCGTAAAACCAAAGTTGCCAATCTATGTAATGAAACGTAAACAAATCAATTAAAATAACTTGAAGTTCTCACATTATACTATTACATATTTTTTAATTTCTGTTAATCCCATACCTTTACGTTGCTATCCACCTCTAAAGATATGTCTGAGATGAAGCGATGCATAAAATGCTAAGCTACTAGCTTGACTAAATTTCGCTTATTGAAGGGAGAAAAATGGAAAGAAACCGAGAACAATGAAAACAATGATTTAGTGAAGATAACATGAAGTGAAGATGTTCTTTTATATAATGTTTATTATATGTGTTTTATAGAAAACCCTTAAAAAGGGCATAAGAAAGTAAAAATTACAGACGAAAAAGCCATAGACAAAAACACTATGTATATAGAAAGTATAAAGATTGATCTTATTGGAGCTATTAAGGCAATAGCAAAAATTCTTTATGAGAGAGAACATGTAAAAGAAGAAGGTCATATATATGCATTTGATAAAATGTGAAGAATATTTTAAGAAATTGACCTGAACTTAAAGGATTTTTTTGATTAACTATATTCAGCAGCTTAGCCACTTAGACGTAATAAGCAAATGATAGATCATATGAAAAAATTGATGATGTTTATTTGCTACCTTCTTGCTTCATTAAACAACACGAAAATTAATGTATTAAGTTTGATCTTACATATTATTTACATTCAGTAAACACAAATAATGAGAGCTTGAACACACTGGCAAATATTGGCATAACTACAATGGCAAGAGCTGTAGATCATAAAAAGAAAAAGATAACAGATGCGCATAGAGAATATGTAAAGAAAGCTCTTATAAAATATTCAGAAAATGCATTAGTATTAAATATTGACGATTATCATAACATTCATATTCAAAGACAATCTGATACTATGGATACGTCTTGAGCGGCATACATGATAACGATCGTGATAATTCCATGTCCTACACTGGCAATATTACGAAATAAAGTAATCAATCTAAAGATAGTTGATAATAAATTGATTGAAAGGCATTTTGATGAACGATTTATTGTAAATCTTAGAATTTCCTATAGTTGTATGCAAAATTATATAAAGAAAAAAAGCTCTAATGATGAGTTTATAAATAGGTTAATATTACACAGCTATAATGATAGGTTAGAGAAGAAAAAGAGTAAGCGACATATATAAAATGCCATTCTTATTAATTTTGTTGAAAGTAATTTAAAAGACGTGAAAGAATATACAAAAGCTCTTCAAATTGTATACAATCAAGAAGAAATGCAAGATTATCTTACTAATCATATGATTCCTATTGTTGCAGACTGGTCTGGTCAGCTTTACATTCATAAAGCTATTGCTCAACAGCTTCTTATTAACAACAAAGTCATTCACTTGTTTATTTCTTTATTTCTACCTATTATAGGTTCCCTCCTTGTATCTTTAAAAGCTTGTAAACTCATTTTTTTGAAAAATTCATTTTTTTAATAACATTTATAAAGGTATATTCAGAGCATG